TAAAAAAAGGGTTTATCTGCGGTAGAAATAGACATCTTTGATTTTAAAATTTAACAAATTCCAAAAATTTCAGCAAAAATTGTAGTATTACATTGGACTAAATAATATTTACCTGGACATGGTGAGACATCTAACTGAACAGGAAACAAGATTTCGGACACATTCTTTTCAACGTCATTTACTTCATAAAGGAGAGTGATGACATAGGCTTCTTTGAGTACTTGATCTATCTTTGCGGTCATATCCTGGCCAGCTTCATCGACAATATTCTGGAAAGCTTCACTAACATCAGCAGTACAAATAGATGATGAGCTACCCAGAAGTTGACAGCAAAAACATAAGCCATATGTTTCATAAAAAACTTGTGGTAAAACGGCAATCTGAAATAAATCGTGAAAAATTACACAACAAATCCATAACCCAGCGATTGTCAACCACTGTGCAGCGACACTTTTGTGTTCACAATTTTAGAAATGTTATAATAAAAATTACAATGTTTTTTTTTCTTAAGAGGGGAGTTTAAATTAAAGAAATATATATACTTTAATGACTTTTCCACGCTTTAATGCAGTTAACATCTTTATTTTCGATAGTCCTGTTTCTGACTCTTAAAATGTTAAAATAAGTAGGAAATTTAATCACTATTAAAATTATTAATTAACAGAAGAAAGTAAGCTAAATATTAACTTACAAAAAGAAATAAAAGCTAACAATTAAAATAAGCTTTGCAATTAGTTACAAAAACAAATCAATAAAGAATAACAAAAAAAACAAGCTAACAATTAATAATTAGCAAAAAACAAGTTAAAAAGGAATTTTTTAGGATTAGAAGGATCGGATTTGAGTGAAATCGGATTTTTAGTATTAACCAACATAAAAATGAAAAAAGATTGAGACTATTAACTACAGAAAACGACGTGAAAGTAGTGTTGTCATTTTTACAACCAAATATAAAGGAAATTATACACACATTGATTGCTCAACTCAATGATTAATCATCTAATGATTACTCAGCTGATTAACTAAATAACATTACGATACATATTCAAAGGCTAGACTGATGCTTTATAGATTACAAATTGTTAACTTACTGCATCAGGAGAAATGATTTCAGAATTTCCATAATCAATGAAGAAAACCTCTAATTCTTTTTCTGAAATGCATGCAACAATTTGAGCTCGATACCAAGACTCATCCTCAGAATATTTAGCTAAACAATAATACCCAGGTATCAATTTTTTCAGGTTAACGGGAGTGACACCCTGCTCAACGTGTGTTTGAATGTCAGCCATCAACTGATCCAAAACATCTGAATCATCAAGAGACTGACACCAAAACTGACACGGACTTTTGACGTACGACACAGCAACGGACAATAACTGTCCTGAACTGAAAGAATCTCTTTTGGCCAACTGCTCGTCATGTTCGATAACAGGCAATGCGCCAGGTTGTTTCGCCTGAACACTATCAACACTCTTAATGGCTTCGATAACAGGCAATGCGTCAGGTTGTTTCGCCTGAACACTTTCAACACTCTTAATGGCTTCTCCAACAGCCAGCCCACTTTTTATAAGTAGTTCTGCCACATTCTTTCGGTCGACAGTCAAATTGACGACATAGTGATCATGCTCCCTCGATACAAACTCACACTCAGAATCGCCTTCGAAAAATTTGCTGATGTTGTTTTTTGACGACCACGATTTTTCTGGAGCTCTGATGCCTTTGATCTGACATTTAATGGCCTGAATGGGCAGTCCTGTAAAGTCCTGAGCGATACAACGCACTTTCTTTTTTTCAACTATCTCGGTATTACCGTAATCTACATAGATGACAGAGATTCCAGTCTTGTCCATTTTGGTTATTCTTCCTCTATACCACACAGAATCCTGATGAAACTGAGCCACACAAATCATGCCAACGTGTGGTCGATCTACGATGGCATCTGATGGTGATAACTTGCTGTAATGATGTTGTAACTGCTCCATCATTCTTTTAAACTCTCCTTCATATGATTTCAATTGGCAGAAAACCACTTGTGGTGTCAGGCCAAAGCAAACGGCAACACGTTCAAATGAACCCGGCTTTATGTCCGGGGTTTTAAAAGTAAGGTTGCTGGAAGCGGCATGAGAATTCAGAACCAATAATTTACTTTCATCTTGTAACTTGCCGTGACCTCGATTAACGAATTGCTTGTTTAAAACGTCTTCTTCGAGTTTGTTTAAGCTAACAAGATTAACAGCATAAGTGTTGGTGTTGTCAACTTCAACAAACTGGGATACAAAAGATTTTTCCAAAGTTAAATTAATGAAATCCTGAATTGCATCGGCACTCCAAGTACTGCTGTCAGGTTCTGCATTAAAAAGCTTACATTTTAAAGCTTGGACCGGCAACATAAAAAATTTGGACGTCAAAGCTTTTATTTTTGAAACAGGAACAGAATCGGTATTTCCGTAATCAACAAAATAAATGTCACAGCACTCGGAATTAATGCCCTTTATAGAACCCCTGTACCAGGCACAATCTTCCTGAAAAACTGCACAGCACACAGAACCTATTTTCATCTGATTTAAAGTTAATTCATTCTCTTTAATTTGAGAATATTCAGTTTCAATATCCAGCATCAGTTGTTGGAGTTTAGCACTTTCTTCTTCAATTTGGCAATAAAACTCACTCGGACTAACAACATGAGACACATACACATTACGGTAGGCTTTAGGTGGAATGTTTATTAGGGTTAGCTGTTTAGGCACTTCTCGGTCTGGCGAACACCGATTTTCAGTCTTTGAGTCAGAGCTGACCAAAGGTGAATTCATGTTACCTCTTTGATCATTTGCTTGAGAATAAGAACAATCTATATCCTTTTTGGCTTTCTCATTACTTGAACCAGCACCTAAAAGTAGAAAAATAAAGCTATTAGTCCTTCGTGAAATAATTAGAAAAGAAAGCAAATAGATATCTATCGCTACGTTAAATAACAATATAATGCAGAATCCTTATTATCCAATGTAATTTACATTTAATCTACATTTTCGGCTAAATAAAACTATCAGACAGATAATACTGGGTACAACAACAGAGAATCAAAAACAGGGAGATTTTGTCTACGTCAGAATTAACAACATAAAAGGGAAATTTCGAATAATGAGCTAGAAACCGATTGCAATTTCATACACAACAATAGCAAATTAAACATACAGAATTTAAATATTTAACTCCAACTACACTGAAAATTTATATACACATATATTTACTATATACACACACAAATCTTTTCTAACTGGAAGAACCAAAATTTCACTAACACTAATAAAGCATTTTAAATCTGCTTCAAAAAAGCATTCAACAAGACTGGGGCTTAATTCAATAAAAATTAAAGTTCACTTTGAGAAGTTTTTTACGAAAGTTGAACTGAATAAAAATGCAATTAGAACTGAAGTTAAATAAGTGAAAATATTTAAAGAGCTTGATAAATGGGTTATTTACTCAGATAGACAACTTTTGTATCCTTAAGCAATATTTCTCATTAAAATATTAACTTTCATTATTTTAAGGTATGGTTTGCTTAAAATGTTCACAAGAAGTCAAAAATAAATGTGCAGAGACATTTTGTATTTAAATTACAAAAAATAAAATATAAAAACTCATTACTATTCATTGTCCCAAACATATATTTTTGAAATTTTTAAGCAATTTAGTATATTATGAATGATAAATGCATCTATATTCTGATATAGCATGAATGTCTACTATCATCAATGTTCTAAAAATAATTTGTTTACTTTGTTCTACACAATTTGTAAACTTGTGCAAATAATGTTCCAAGTACTAAAAGTGTAAATAAATGCCCTCGCAACAATTTTAACTTGTCCCCAGAGGGGTTCAAAATTGTCTCAATATGGGCCCTATCAGAACATGCACAACGAGACCAATATTGGGATGTTTAGATTTTTCAATATTGGTCCTAGAATGGCCTGTATAGGGCCTACATTGGCATAATAATGGATATAAGATATCAAGTGAATCTGACAATTCCATATATGACCGATATTGGTTATAAAGTGACTATAAAATATCAGGTGAATCGGAAAGTTCTATACAGGGCTAATATAGGGGGGGAAAGGCCCTTTGAACCTTTACCTTGCCAAGATTCATGAATATTGGCCCAATTTATTTTGCTGCTAGGATGGTGCAATAAGCAGCTCCAGTTGAATGAAATAGAACTTTCGCAACACTTTCCCTTACAGAACAGTAAAGTTTAATGCAAGTATTTCTTATAGGGTTAATAAGCTTCATTTTACCCTAAAAAAATCTGTGTGTGGCTTTATTAAATGTAATTACTGCCCCCAGACAGGGCTCGAAAAACCTCCCGTCCTCGGTGCTAAAAAATTCCCTGCGGCCAACGAATTTCTCGAATCCGACGTCCATGTGAACGGCCATTTTCCCGTTAATGCTCGTGATACATTTTCAATTTTTTTTATCTTACAAGAGTCTAGCGCCTCACTACTAAAATGACTCTCTAGTTTAGAAATACAGCAACATACTGCGTATGTTGGAATTGATGTTTTCTTTGTCTGGGCAGCAGTTGAAAGGGTCTTTTCAGCAATGAACTAACAAAAAAACACATTACGTACTGGTCTTAAACAAGAAACCTTAAACGCAATTATGAGCATCTAACTAAATGGAAAACCCCTTTCAGATTTCTGTGCAGAAACCTCTGTAAATCATTGGCTTGATTGTGGAACTGGCAAATGTCATATTTGATTCATTTAAAAATCACAGTACCCTCGGATAAATTGATATTCCAGATAACTTGTCATTTAAATTATTTCATAAAAGAATTACTATTAGTAACCTAGTATTTCTTTTATTACTGTATAATGTAATCCTAGTAACAACTAATTCATTGTGCAATTTATATAAATGTTTGTAATAAATAAAAGAAAATTATATTTTTATTTATTTAGAAGCTACGGGTTAGTTTCAAAGGAGGACGGGTACATTGTTTGACATGCCGGGTAAAATTTCTGAGTTTTTTCGTGCCTTACCCTAATAGTTTTCAAAAATGAATGTATGGATAGTTTAATTACAGAAATGAAATAGTTTTTTCCTCCATTTGGTGAAAACTATTGTTTTTTAATAAATGAAATGTACCTAACAGGGACAGTCTATTTAAAAGGGACCTATTTGAAATACTTTTAATTTCTTTTAAACATTCAGTTACGCGATTATATAATTAGTTGCTCTTTAGTCAGATTTCAAACAATAATAAAGAAAAGAAAATTAATCACCATTAGAAAACATTCAGCAAACAACAGAACAATAAATTTTTAAACTAAAACCAAATTTATGACTGTTAATGTTATTAAGTTAAAATATTCTACGTAAAAGAGTTTAGTAATAGTTTCATTTAGAAAATCAAAATATGTATTAACTTCGTAATGTAAAACAGAACAGTTGAGAGAAAAAATCTTCATAAAAAACTAATTGTATTTTTATTAATTAATATTTTAAATTAGAAGTTTACTTAGCAATTTAGTGACTTTTCTTCTTCTTAAAAAGTGAATAATTTAGAATAAATAATTTTAACACATTGTTGACTGGTGACAAGTGAACTCACCATTGCACTTGCATTATCTGTGAATAATTCCTTATCAAAGTGTTGTTAAATCTTTAAATTTTTGAAACGTGTGTTCTAATAAATATAAAAATCCTCTGATATTGATTTTTTTTTTTTAAATCAATCCAGCAGTTTATCATATATCTGATATATTCCAGAGAAATGTGTCCTTAATTATTGAGAAATAATAATCATTGTCCGAAAATATAAGAAATGCAATGTTTATTAAAAACAAATTGCAACTTACTATATGCACGTTTTTTATACTTCCTTTTTATTTAATAATTCATTTTACTTTTCAACTCATTCCATTCTTTTTAATGGTTAGATGATTCAGACATGTGCGAGGTTTTTGACCCACCCATAAACCAAAAAAAAAAAAAACATTTTATTCTTTACATTATTGGGGAGAAGAAAAAATAATTTCTTTTTAAAATTTTATGTAAGTAATTTCATAAAAACAATCTTAATATAAAATAAATAATACGATGGATTAATGGCTGAATTAAAACCCATTACAGGTTTAAAAAAAAGTCCACACTCAAGCAATCTTTGTGACCTTTCCATGAAACCTTAGCGTTCCATGGAACACCATTTGGGAACAACTGCTCTAAATTTACACATAAAAAAAAATATTACATAAGCCATATATTTTAAAAATGACTAATTATTTATGTCTTTTTCTTCTATACTTAGGTGAATTTAAAGTGATGATTATTCAGGAAAATTTTATTTATATATCTAAAACAGGGATGGCGAACCAATGGCATGCGTGTACTTGTATAACTGAGACATTGCAAAATGTTGTTTTTTTTTCGATGTAAATAAAGTTTTGAGTTGATAGTATTTAGTATTATTATTTTCCCAATAATCACGAAGTCAAAATTATTTGACGGCACGTCTATGACCTCATTAAGCAATTTTGTAGAGAAAATGACACGTTGGTGTATAAAGGTTCGCCACCCCTGATCTAAAATATAAAGGAGACTTTCAGAGGGGGCTGCTATACACGCTCCCTAACTTTGTCTATAGCACCAGGTAATCTTTACTTTTCAATCTTTCTCAATCCAATGATATTGGCATACACCGAGAATGTCAGAGTCATTACTTAAACATGCAATTTGAACTTAGCCTGTTGTAATAATATTAGTATTTAAAAAATATAAACAGGAGAATATGAATAGTAATAATAACTGAGCAATGAATAACATTGAGATTTTAGATATATAAACTGAAAATTTAAAGCAACAATTGCCACAAAAAAAGGGGATCAAAGCAATACATATATTTTTGAGGGAATAGGCGCAATTGTAGACGATTAAGTAAAGACTTACTTGAGTGAATAAAATTTGTATGTACACATCATATAAAAATTATTGAATGGATTGTATTAAATAATAATTAATCAGGGTTGGCAAGTTTTTGACACATGACGGTTTTTAACGGTTTATACCATGGTTTTTACCGTCATGTCAAAAACCCCTCTGCCAAAAACTGTCAAAAACCCATAGTCTTGAGAAAACTGTATTTTAATTTGAGTTTAACTGCTTATGATTTAAAATTAATTCATTTTTGGGCAATAAAATTAGAAAAAAAGCTGCTAAAATATATTTAAGAACAGATTTTTGCATTTTCCCAACATGATTATATCAAATCATACTATTTAAGTAAAATATTAGTATACTAAACAAAATTTTCAACATTTCCAAGCATCATTTTGTTTGGCATATTACATTACTCAAGTCATTCCTGACTTAGAGTTTGTTAGTAGCTACAAGTTTTGAAAGTTTTTGTTTAGCTTATTTCTAATATTTAAGAAATGCCAAATTTTAAATTCTTCTCTTTAGTTTAATAATTCCAATTTTTTTTGTTTATTTCTAACAATTAAGAAGTG